TTTTTGGTTGGAAGACAGTTCTGCGAAATTAGAGTTTAAAAAATGTTAAATAACTGAACCACTTAATATTTATATCCAACTACTTATTGAGAATCAAGTTTTTTTGTAAACCAAAAAACTTTTTCGATTAATTCGGAACTCAGGCCGCAGTGACCTTGACAAAAGGGCAAAGAATTAATGTCGCAGACATTCCAGTTTAGCCGTTCGTTTATAATTCGAAAAGTTTTCGGGCCAGCCAACTATGGAGTGTCTTGGCCAAGTTCCTCGAGCTGCTGGCCATTAAAAAGTTGTGTACTCTCATTTCAATTGCTGGAGCCAGCGAACTTGCTAAGCAAATTATAAACTATGTGCAAATTTGAACTTGCGACACAAAGTGTTGCAAGTGTTGCATGCAAAGTCCAATGCAAGATTCCGGCCAGAAAGTTGGTCGTTTCAATTGTCATTATTTACTTTTGCAGTTGCCAATAAAAGCAAATTGCCTGCCAATTAGATGGCCAGTATAAAGGGGGTTGTGAGACATGATGAGGCTTATTAAGTGGCGTAGAAGGGGTGAATGTTTGACTTGACTTTTGGTCAAAACCAAAAATAGTCTCAAAGATTGCCCAAATAATTTGTTTCTCGTTTATTGTGTTTTGTTGTCGCCAGCTCGTAATTAATGCAAATTAGATATGGACCTGCGACGAAATGAGTTTTTCATCAAGTCTAACAACTTAATTAGCTCATAAAAATGACGCCCCCAAGCTGTTAACCCACCCCCAGTCCCAAAATTCCACCGTGTTTCTGCGTGTTGCGGCCACTTAAGCGCGGCACAGATTGCCAATGCCGGGGAATCCCCCCCTCCCCATCGAACCCCCTATCTGCTCCCCAGACTGGGTTCCGTTTCCGGAAATGCCGGTCGGTCGTAGGTCACGGCGTAGGCGCAAAGCTAATTAGTATTAAGTGCTCTTGCGGCACTTGAGGCCATTCCCTCGCCTGGTATTCCGGCTCCCAATGTTGTGGTTGTTACTGCTCCACGGGCTCCATCGCTCTGGATTTTTGTTGTCGCCTCGGGTGTGGCAAAAAATATTTTTGTGTGTGCGGTCAGTTGTTAAATTCCAGCAAAACGTTCACAGCAAACATTTTTTGAAGCTTTATGATCATGATACTCAAGGCGAAGGATTGATGCTCTTTCGCGTTATTTAAATTTTGTGTTATATATAGCATACCTTTGGGAGCGATTCTGTGAAAAAATCCTTTTAATTAGGTGAAATAAATCTTAGACTTTCACTTAAAATATAATTATTTGGTAATTCTTAAGCTCAGTTGATAAACATTTATTTTTCAAATACGAGAAGTAATGATAAAATTACTCAAGACTTTATCTTATTGCTCACTTATAACTAGAACAAATATTTAAATAATTATTTTATTAATTATTACCATTATATCTATTATTACTATATATATTATTATTATCCTATGAAATGTGTTGTGTAGTCCCAGATAACTTTGTATTTGATACATTTGACAAAAGTCGTAGCAAGCTCTTTAAAAATTCGTATGTTCCCGCCATGGACTCCTCGAAAAGTCAGAAAAGGCCATTGCCATTGGCATGGTCGTACAAGCGATTTAGTACCGCTTGAGCGGACAATGAAGCCAGAGCCAAGTCCACGATGAATTCGACTTTTTTGCCTAATTTGTGCCCCTCTCCTGTCAGGACTGCCATGATGATGATGATGGCGATGAAATGTGGCTGAGGCTGCTATTACGAACGCAGGGTCAGCAGGTCATTTCCAAAACAAATATTTGCTGTCTTTGTTTATGGCGCTGACACACTTTGAACTGTTTTATTTTGTGAATTTTGATTTATACTTAAAGGCACATTTAATTTAAAAATAATATGTGAAATATTCTTGCAATTTATACACATTTTGTATATTTGTAACTGTGAAGTACACCTGTTATTTAGCTCTAAATTAGCTCTAAATTAAGTAATATAATTATAATGATACCGCTTAAACCAACTTTCCCGGCATCTTTTCTTCAGCCATTTTCCAACCAGAGAATTATGTTATTAATTTGCCCCCATATCCGACCCTCAACTGGCATCCTGTCGAGTTGCCACGCCCATTTCCTGTCTCAGCCTCAGGGGCACGTAGTCGCTTTACTTTAGTTCAACTCATTTCCGCTGCTCACATGACTTTATGCAATAACATCCAAATAAAATTATCTTATCAGCCACTGTAGCATCCTGCGTGTCCTGCGCGTGTAGAGTGTGGACTAATTTTATTGCATAAAACTTGTGCTTATTGCGTTGCCCCCGCCAATTCCCCTCGCTCCTAGTACAAAAAAATTGCACGTTCCGGTCATACAATGCGAACGTGACCGCTTGACCATCGCAGGACCAAGAGATCGGACCGACGCACTGCGCTCTCCTCCCGGCGGCGACCATATTCTGTGACATGTCCCATTTCCATGTAATGGACATGGCTTAAGGATGGCAGCACGAGCTGAATTACAGTAATTCATGGAAATTTTTTGTATCTTTCGGCGAGTGGAGAGGTTGTAACAAGCACGACAATTGCTTGTTGCTCTAGGAAATGGATCGTTATTTCAGAGCAACAACATTTGCAAAAAAAGGCAATATAAACATGCCTGCTGGCTTGGACCTTGAGAAAGATCTAAGTTCGTTTATAAATAAATAAAACAATAAAAATGAATTAAGATTTTATTTAATCAATATTATTAATCAACAATTTTGTCAGCTCCCCACAAGGTTACGAGTTTGAACAGAAAGCTTGCTCGCCTCCGTCACTAATGATGTTCCTTGAAGCTGGGGAAATGTGGTACCAGGATGCTGACGACTTGAGCACAATGTGGCACGTACTCCTGTTGCAATGAAATGACAACGACGGAAGACGGAAGAACAGCAGATATAAATGCAAATAAACATTGTGTGGCAAGCATTTGTGGCTCGTTACATTCCAACAAAGGAGGACTCACGTAATGACTGTTTACACGTTGCTAACCTTATTAGTTGAGTATCGTGCATAAAATACACTTAGAAAAATACCGATGTAAAATCAAGTATTAGATGTAAAAAGATTTAAAGTCACAAAAAGAACAAACGCTAAAGTGGGATGATTAAAAGGGTAACTATTTTCATTCTAGCAAAATTGATTTATTCATAGTTTACAACTAGATTTGATAAATATAAATAAAAAACTGATTACCTTTCCCTAAAGGACTTTTATTAAAAGAAGAAGTTTTTGTTTTTTTGACCATCATTGATGTTATTAAAGTCTTGTTAAATGTGATAGCCAACACGGACACTTTATTTTTCAGCAAAGACTTCAGAAATATTTATGTGATGCGCTGTGTATTTTTGTGTTTGCTGGCTTTTATCTGTGTTATGTTTAACTTATTAAATTAGCCCGCTTGAGTGGTTCGGTTTGTGTGTCTTGTCTCTCTGCTCGATGGTTTTTATCCGAACCAAGTCAAATGAAAATTGTTGATTATTTTCTAATGCGCTTCATCAGTTTAGAAATATGAAATATTGGCATTGGAATTCAAAAAGGATACGTATAGGTAAACGAATCCCACATAAATTTAATTATTTTGACTTAATTGCGATTTATTAAAATATATTTCACACCAGATGTGGATAGAATTGCAATAAACCAATTGTGATTTATTCCATTTTTGTAGGCATTCAGTTTAGCAAAGCAAATGAAAAAGTATAAAGGGAAATTATGGGAAACTGAAATGCATAAACGGAAATTTAGAGAAAACTGAAGTGTTAGCTCCGACTGACAGTTGCATTTGGAGATAAGCAACTGCAAGTTTTTGGCTTGGGGCACTCCCAATGCATAGTAAACTAAAATTGCTATCCAACGAAAAGCCTTCGATGCTGTAAAGTTGTCACACAAAATGCAAAAAGGCAGACAAAAGCAAATGCCACTCTAAGGAAAAAACATGAAATTTAATATCCAGCGGATGGCAAGGCCAAATGAAATTTAAAACCGAATATTCAGTCACACATTGTCCCATCTATACGAATGCGAGCCTGCATCCAGGGTTTGCATAGAGCAGTTGATATAGTGTAAATATTTTGACATGGCAATATGTTGTCACAATCATGCCTGTGTGTCGTCTGACGAGTGTTTGTTCGAAATTCGGCCATTGTCGAGCTGAAGATGGAAAGTTTATTTGTTTGCCCATCTCCCTGCATTTGCTGTTAATTTGTTAAAATTTCATTTTATAAATAAAATTCAGCTCCTGGCTCCCTTTTGACCAGGCTAGTGGGTACGTGGTCGCCGAAGGCTGGTTGGCCGGCATCATTCCGGGTTGTCGTACCATAAGTTTTCCAATTTGCATAACTTCCGCAGCAGTTGGGACTATAAATATGCAAAGGGTTTTACGACCGCACTATATGCAAGTGCCTCAAGAAAACGTTTTCTTGGCCCTCAACCCTCCCAAGTGGGCGGAAATGGATGGATAGCTCCCAGTTTTCTGCTTTCTGTTTGTTGTTTAGTTGGTTTCAGTTGCGCTTGAATTGAAATTGAGGAGGCCAAAATTGAAGGAGGCGCAATGAAAGCTGTTTGCATAGCAGATGAGCGATAAGCCTTATATTTTTTGAATAAACAGGATACAGAGTATAGCAAAATCTTAACAATAAACAAGTTTTGGTAACATTGAAAATATTCTGCAAAGGATAGAGCCATTCTTAATAGATTTTGATAGCTTTAACTTGCAATAATAGCAAATATTTTAAATATTTTTTATTGGAAAAGTAATGAATCCCATCTAAAATATTATATGCTTGAAATCTCTTAAAAAACTTTTCAATGATTTTAAAGTGACAGTGTTACTTTATACAAAATTTAAACCTCTTTTAAAGAAGCTTATTTACCAATCATTTTATTGGCGTTGTCCCTGCTTAAACCACAAACATGTATGTTCCTATAGGAACTAATTTAAAATGTAGAGACTATGTAGCCTGAGGTCCAGTTGGCATTCAGCCAGATGTCACCGCTGACACTATCCAACCCTGACGTATATAGCACATTTTGATTGGCAAATTATTAAAATCGAATATTTCGGAAAGTATCTAAGCGCAAAGCGAACTAATTGGTAAGCGGATGATAGAGGCAGGAATACCAACTAATTGCCCAGTACCGCCAGCAAACATCAACCTCGGAATCGAAATTAAACCTTCCAGCAATGGGCTTTGACCTCAATAGCATTGTGGGTCATGTGGACGAGGAGCTCATCTGCCCGATTTGTGCGGACGTACTGGAGGAGCCGGTGCAATCGTCAGGATGTGAGCACGCCTATTGTCGCGCCTGCATCGACAAGTGGATGCTGCAGAAGCAGATTTGTCCGGTGGACCGCTCCGCGCTCTTGGCCGCTCACCTGGTACCCGTGTCCCGGCTGATGCGCAACATGCTCTCGCGGCTGAAGATCAAGTGCACCTTCTCTGCAAACGGTTGTCCACTAATGCTGCCGCTCGAAGAGTTCCGGACCCACGTCGTCTCCTGCGAACACAATCCCAAGGTGGTCGTACTGTGCAACAAGGGCTGCGGAATGAAGGTAAATCCTAGAAATAATTTAAAACTTGCTTGGGTTACATGGGCTCAGCATATTTAAACAATGTATTTCATTTTGTGCTACAATATACCTCTAAATTGCTTGCCAAGTTAAAAGTTCGAGATTTTCCGGAAATAAGTTCGTAAAATAACTAATAAGTTTTATACAATTATTGAAATTTCTTCAAAAACTCAATATATATACATATTTTATAGTTTCTTTAATACGTTTTATAGAGGGTTTAAAAATTATATGTCAACTAAATCAAAATTAGCTTGTTTGCCATGAATTTTGATCCATCAGTTGATATCTTTTTTTTATAACCATACCCTTTAAAGGTGCCCAAGGACGAGCTGGCGCGCCACAACTGTGTCTTCGAGCTGCGTGAGCTGGTGCACCAACAGATAAAGGAGATCTCCGAGCTGAAGGTGAAACAGGCCAGCGAGGAGCTCCTCATCGTGAGCCAACGTCGGGAGCTGGAGCTGCTCCAGTACTACATAGCGGCGCTGAGGTCCACCAATCCGGTGCTGCGTAATATTGGCGAGCAGCTGGACCGCTACTCGCTGATGCAGTGGGGCAATGGCCTGCCGCTGGCCACGGTCCGCACCTGGGGCAGTCTGATCTCCACGCCGGACACGCCCATGCACGTGATGGTGCGCGACGGACTGCGCTCCTGCGGCTGCCCGATGCACATGCTCAACCTGATGGTGGACCGTTGCCACGAGGATCGCTGGCCGGAGGGCCTGATGACCCTGGACCTCCGTCGGGAGAACCACCATCAGCTGGGTCAGTATGTGACCCGCCTGGTGCCGTCACTGGCCTCCGGCAAGCCGTGTGTGGTGGTGCTGGGCGGCGACAACATCCACATGCCGGAGAATCTGCGTCCCAGCCTCGGACTGGTCATGATCTTCGTCGACGGCGTGGATGAGATGGTGCAGGAGGCCCTTCCGGACAGTGAATTTCTCTGAACCAGTGCGGCCACACCTCTATACTCCACATCTAAATTCACTTTGGTTACACCACACACAAACCACAATGGCCAACCGTTTCCCACGTCTTTGTCTTGGAAACGATGCCACGGCCATTTGGCTTTTAATGTCTAAAATTACACGATCTACGTAAGTTAATTGTCTGTCAAACGGCTATCGGTCGCTCCTCTCTTCCAATGGGAAATATACAGTGCGGAGAAAAAGTTATATTACATTATTACGTACCAACTTCAAATAATAATCGAATTTTAATAGTACGGAAGCCCAACAACTCAAAAGATTTTTGCGAATCTCTGAGTGAAATAAGTCTTGATTACGGATTTAATTTAATATATTTTGGATATATATAATTACACTATTTCTTTATTAATTCAAGTGAATATGATGTAAGAACTTAATTATACGTTTTTAACACCTTAAATAATAAATCTAGAATACTAACAAAACTAAGTGGTGTACAATTCTATACCATGGCCTTTTCTGAGCACACAGTCACTCAGAGCTTGAAGTTGTCGTTGGAGATGACAGTTATTCTTCTCGGCAATTACGCGGCAATTATAAGAGCTCGGGAACAACCAGGCGTATGCGTAATGCTCAAGCAAAATTAAATAAACGGATAAGCTGGGATTGAGGTTGCTACATCGGGTGGGCGGATGGTTGAGTGGGTTGTGTTGGGTGCATCAAGTAAAACTTATAATGGAAATGGTAAAAGTTTGCAGAGCTCGGTTCGCGGCAGTTGGCGACACCATTTGGAAAAGTTTTACAAATTGTACAAAATTTAATTTCCCAGATGTGATAAATTTTCAGGGCTATTACAATTTTAGCTTGCAATTGAAAACCAGATCTCAGATCAAATGAAAATTAATGGACTGCAAAGAGGGCTTATATCGATGCCAAAAATTGAGTGTATCGCCCTCAACTGTGCAAATATTTTCCATTGAATGTGTACAAAATTGCAACGAAGTATACACTGAATTAGTGTCAACTCAAACACGACTCTTTGAACTAATTAAATGGCCTGGTAATCACAAAGGGCATGTACGACTAACTTGATTAAGCCAAGTCGAATCGGCAGCACAAAGGACCAACTAACTAACCACCTAATGCTGCAGCTAATACAATGATAGATACCGGCAGCTGGGAGCCTTGAACTGGCTGCAGCAGGCTCTGCTGCAAAAACCGAAGCCTAATGCAACAAAAGCCAAAACTTAATTAATATTTACATGGGTCCTCCTTCGTTGGGGGAAGAAAGCCAAAGGCTCGCAGAGAGAGAGAGCTGCTGTTGTGGCTTTATCTTGTGTTTGGACCTGTCATGTTTGCATATGTGCAGGCGTCGCTCTTCCCGGAGGCTCCCGCAGGAGCCGGGGGATTCCTAAAGGCGATGATGGCGACGAGGACGAGCGAGTCCTGCATGGCTGCTAGAAATCAATTCGCATTGTTAACCCATGATTGGATATTATTGATTCAATTTGCAGTCAACCGACCAAAACATGTTTTATGCATGCCCATGTCCTCCTCCTTCTCCGCATTTTGAACGCCTCTCTTTCTGTCTGATGGTGCATGTGTGCCGATAATGTCCTTTGGTATCGATAATGGTGCACATGCACGCTCGCACACTAACACCAACATCCTCGCCGACATACATACATACAGACGCACTTGTAGTTGGCCAAACTTGAAGCTCAACTAAGTTTAATTTATGCATGTGTTGCACTTGACTGTGTTCTACAGTGGGCCGTAATTGTTGTGAGTGGCATTTAAAATTGTATGTTTATATAATTCCAGTAAAATAACCAAAGCAAACATTCAAATTCCTAATCATTGTTTCAGTGTTCAGTTAAGTTAAAAAATTTCTTTAATTTTGTGTCTATAAGATTTGTATCCACTGTAATGACTTGATTTGAAACATGGAGAGAGGTGAACAATAGCTGTTCCTCTCACCACGTCCATTTCCTTTCTACTACGACGTCTGAATTGTTGTCGCACCTTATTATTTCTAGTTGAAAAACAGGCATTATTAAAGATCAGACTATTGTGAATGATGCCCATTCACTTGTTATATTGTTTTCAGCATGGGTCATTAATAGCAGATCAAACATAATTGCTTTAATTAGTTCAATGCATGTTTCGTACTGTCAAAAATGGCACACATACCTTATAAATATAAGTATTACATATAAGATCTTCTGAGTAAAATTTTGTGCCATAGTCATTGAAGAACTCTTTACTTTACGAGGTAAAGTTCCTTGCCAAATCATCAACAGATTGTCGTAAATCGATGGCTGGAAAGAAGAATATAGTTCGATAGCACAATACTAATCACCCAAAGGTAAATCACCGGGGCAGCACAATGGAAAAGGTGGCGAGAAAAATATGCAACAGCAACTGGCTTCTTTGCCAAGGGTAAAAATGTGAAAAGGCCGCAACGGCACAAAAACGCCAGCAAAAACGTGGAAACAGCAGTAAATTGGCGGCGATAAAATTGAAACCCGCTGGAAGCTGCGCTAACCGATTTGGGCCAGTCTTTGGGCCTCGGACCACCTGGAGGTGCAAAGGCAAAGTGAGGAAGTCGGCGCGTTGAGTTGTGAAAACCGAACGGAAATAGCGGCCATAACTCGCCGGCTGGAGCCCAGAAAATCGCCATGGAAAAGCTATTTGGTGAGCTCCACCTTGCCCTGGTCGACGTTGCACTGTGCCACGAATTGAATCGCCGTTGTGGGAGGCAATATTGGGGAGCTTTGATTAGCGGAGATTGGCAAAGGTTTCAATGGCCCCGTATGACTGATGTGCAGGGAGTTTCGATTAGCGGCCATGAAAAGTGTGTAAACGATTTTTCAGAACAGGGGTAAGAAGTTGTTACTTAAAACTTTAAAAACTGTACAATTTTATATGAAACTAATATTTTTGTACTAAACAATAAGATTTGCCTTTTTAATTTGTATCTTTTAAAGACTTGTGTGTTTTTCTATAAATATTATTTACATTACATATACTTACAACTTTATCTTTATTTGCTTTTTTTTAATTTGCTAAATAAGTATTCAATTTGTTCTTTTAAAAATCTAGGAATGATTCTAGAATATTTGAGATTATTTCATTCTCAAAGAATTCAACACATTCGTGCAGATATGAACCTATTCTGACCAATTGACAAATATATCACCTGAGCTGTCTGAAACCTGTAAAGCGATTTATTTAATTTATACCTACCATGGGCTAAACCCACTACCATCAATTTTATTCGCCTAGCTGAGAAAATGTAATAAAACTGTAATAGCATTTATAAAGTATTCATTAATTTGATTAACGGCCTCGCAGAATATTTTTATTTGAGTTGAAGAGTTTTTCGTTTGCCAGACTGTACAATTTATTATTGCAAATAATATCTATATCCTTTGGTTGCCCTTTCTTTCTTTTGGCAAAGGTGTTTATCGGGTTTCAAAATGAGATGTTATTGGGCCTTTAGAAACAGGATAAAATAGTGTAACTCGAATTTACAGAAAAATAAAAAACCTGCTGTGCAAAAGGTTTATTTTTGAATGGACCATTTCTTTTAATTTTCTGTCGTACTTTTAAACCCTCAACTCATAGAGAGAAAATGCTTCTACTCGACAGAAGCTGTTAATCTTTTCGCTTTGAACATCCTTTTGTCATTTGGGTATATTTGCCGATCACTTCAATTTTCAGAAGCAATTTTCGCACTCAATGCAGTCAGCTTGTTTTTCCTTCGGCTGATTGTTGCTAATGCGCTTTAAGTAGCAGCATGCCACGCCCATGCAGTCGCCCGTAGGAATCAATTGCCCCTAGATGGTCCCAAAAAGCCATTCAGTGCGCCATTGAGAAGGGTTTTGTTTCTTCTACCACTTCTTTTTTTTTGGCAATTTACTGCAATTGCATCAGGAGCAAAAAAAGAAACTTTGGTTTAATGCCCACACTTTTGGGTGTCGTTTCCAGCATGACACCAGCAGAAAGCAGAAAATACTCTTGGATTTCAGCTAAATGCTGATCCCTTAGGGGCAATAGCCGGCAAGCTGGAAAAGAAGATTGGAGAGGATTTCAAGACAATATTCCTGCAGTGAAAGTGGATTAGACTTAAATATTTCTTTAAACTTTGACTAGGTTTATAAATGGGCTCCCAAAAAAAATTATTATTTAAGTGGCTCTCATTGGGTGTAAATAATATGAATGTTACATATTCTAAGTAAGATAACCTATTTATTTTTAAATAAACATGAGGGATTATTCCAGTATCTATATGTCAGCAGACTCCCGAAAGGACCATTTGATAAAAGCGTTGAGTGATGCCCCATTTTTCAACATTGCAGGTCGCCGTCATCACCGGATTATCCTTATGGCGGCTTTTCGGCGCCAAAACCCACGTCCATTTGCAGCACTCCCACTTTTGTTAATGTTTCAGTTTATAGTGATGGTCAAGAGGAATTTGTGTCAGCTTCTGATAAAGCAGTTGGTCAAGCTTTAACTCTAACCAGTCTCACCACTTGAATATTTTGGGAGCTCTGGGACAATAGCATATTAGTTATTTTACTTTTCGGTTTTATGCAGTTGGAGTTGCTGTTTATTTTATTCATGTCCGAAACTACTTGCCAGGGAATTTGGGTCTTTCCGTGTATGTGTTCCACGTTAGTCAGATGACCCGTCCTTTCCGATCTGCCCCGACTTGGTTTTAAGTTTCCCAGTTATGTTTATCTAAATGATGCCAGCAGCCAACACTGCGTATGTGGAATATTTTTTATTGTGGTTAGCAGTCGGTTGTTGCCAGTTTCCAGTTGTGTGGTAGATGCTTTTGACATTGGCTAAGGGGTGGAGTAAAGAACAGAAGTCCGAAATTTTAGTGTGTTTCACCAGATAAGCCAATTTATGCAGTTGCTCTTTTTGAATATGCGTGTTAATTTGACTGTGAAAGTTCTGCGTGGCATGGAACTTTAGGAGTTTAGGTTTTTAATTGTGGAAATTGGTTTATGGTTCTTTGACAGCAGTAGTTGTTCTAAATACTGTTGTGGTCAGATTAGGGTCAGGTTCAAAGGTCCTTCAGCTGTGGTTGAAAAGTATACTATTTCAATTATAATTATAATTTCTAAGCTAGGCCCTTTTATATAAATATATTAATATTTTTAATGCCTGGAAGTTTAAGCTTAAGTACTTTTTGAAAAAATTAATCTACCTTTGTGTATAATAGTTTCTTTTTATATTGAAGAATCCTTATTTTTAAATAAGGTTTTTTAGAAAACCACGTTTATTAATATTAAAAGACAAAACATCATAGTTATGTACAAAATTTTAATTGACGATTTTATTATAGGCCTTTAAATTATGTTTTTTGTAAACCTCCATTCTAGTATTCTTGTAATAAGTATTTTACCCCTATGTTAAGACGATTTAATCGGTTAGAGGTATAAATATTATCCATAGAAGCATCAGTTTAAGAGGTAGGTTCACAACTTAAGGAAGTGGAACTTCCCGATTGGCTCTTTCCAGTGAATTCCTCTCCGAAACCGGGAGTTCATTCATGCTCTCGGCCGATGAATTTCGAAAAACCGAATGGCGGCCGTAAGCCGAAGCGAAGGGGCCACGAAGTGGCATCGTCGTTTGGGCCATGACTCGGGCTTTTCCACCAATGAAGTCCTCCGCCCGTTCAGTCGTGAATCGGACTTTCAACTGAACGGACGGTCTGTGCCAACGAGGGTCGCCACAAAACTATCTGACGTGCGATTTGCGATCCCACGCGAGTGTCCACCGCGAAATGTTACTCGGTGCGTTGTCGTTATCCTTGCCACTGTCGTTGGTCCTGTCGCTGTCATTTGCCGGATTTTGGCAGCCCTCGCCAAAGTTGTGAGCGAGTGAAAGTTTTGTGCATTTGTCGTGCGGCGACTTCGGTTTACCATTTGCATTCGCATTTGCGTGCTTAATTTGAAGTAATTATTAAATTTGTTTGTTGTTTTGCAAAAAAGGTTATACATTTCTCTAAACTGCTGGTCCCACCTTTTGACGACATGTGCCACGTTTGTTTACACTCTGCAAAAACTTTTGTAACGGGATTGTAAAAGAAAAAATATTAGGAAATTGATCGTTGGCTTTTTGGGATGATTGTTAGGAGCATAACAGGAGAGGAACATATCATATGTTGGGAATTTTTTTATATAAATATTAAGTATACTTGTTAAATGTATTTGTTTAAGGTGAATTTTATGGCTTCCAAACAAAAAAAGGTTTAGTTCAATTTATTTATGTTGAATTTTATTTTGATCACTAGCAATCTCAAGTTGCAATGAAGTTCTTCTTGTAGTTTGGTAGCTTTTCTATTTCGCAATCATTTTTTATTTTTTATACAAAGCATTTCATTTACATAAAATCTCATACATTTTTCAACCGTTGATTAGCAAACTATTTTCTTTCATGACGAAAATACTTTGCACTTGCCACGACACAGCAATTTAACCATAATAAATGGGTTTTACACTCGAAATAAATTGAATGCAACTGTAATACCCTAATTTGTCAGCAATTGTGAAAAAAACCGCAAAAATCCCAACACCAAATCCTTTTACTGGAATGCAACAAACTAAATGGCCATAAAAACCGCTTACGAACAGTGACTGAGGGGAGCGGGCCAAGGGAATGGGATGTTGGCCATGTTGAGACACAAACAAAGAGCCGCCATGTAACCAGCAAAATAATTTGTTGCAATAAATATTTGAAAATCCAGTTAAGCGAAACATTTTCGTCACGAAGAGGGCAACTGGCCGCAGAGTATAAGAACTCCGCAAAAAATGCACTTCGAGCGGTGAGGCAGGAGGAATGGTTGGGTACCAGAGCTGTTGCAGAAGTCGTGGCTCCAGGCTTTTTGTTGGTGGAACGATGTCGCCCCCTGGAAGAATCTGGTTAGTGATTTTGTAGTGTTAGGGTAGCTAGGCTTACCTCGGCAGCACACATTATATTTCGTATATTTTTAACCAATTTTTTAAAAGAAATACATGTTTTTCATAAGCTGTTAGTTAAAATATTTCCTTAAAATCTGATTTTTTTTTATTACTTGGATAAACGAAGTAGCAAATTATTTGTATACAATCAAATAAAACATTAAATATATAAAAAAAAAATTTTTGACTCTGTAAACTTTGTTGTTTTGAGGTGGCATAATTAGGAAAGGAACATTTTGCATTTTTATATAAATGGTGACTATGGTGCGAATTTTTTCTGTTCTTCGTGAATTTTATTTTGAGCTTTTATTGCCTATACTGGGTAGCAAAACGATTGATCAAAAAATGTCCTCCTTCTTACTAAATACATACATTTTTTTTGTGTGGCACTTTCAGGCAGTTGCCGCTTTTTTCATGCCCCGCATGCCGTTGGCGATGTTGCTGCTGTTGCACGCCGTGTTGCATTTTGTTGGTGGTCCTGTGTTGCCAGGTCCTTTGCCTTTTGTGTCTCTATACCGGATGCTTTAATATTAAAAGCGTTTAAAATTTTCGTACGTTTCGTCGCGATTGTTCCGTTTTCTGGCTGATGCCCCGAAACGAGTAAAAAAGAAGAAAATCCCCTCAGCCTGCGATATCCGCAATCCCTTTGTCATGAGGATAATAAAAAGGGGCGACTGTTGCACCGCTGCGGGGCAGCAACACTAACAAGCTTTGTTATGTTTCGCTGTTGCATTTGAGTTTGCGTTTGAGTTTGAGTTTGAGTTTGCTCAACGTTTTGCCAACTGTGCGAGAAAGTCGCCCGCAGCGTCGGAAGCGGAAACGGAAGTGTTGCCATTGCCATTTTGCTGGCATCGCCATTGCATTTTCGGTACGCTCCGCTCCGTGCGCTGCTTGTACTGGTGTTATTGTTTTGTCAGTGCTTTTCGATAAAACTCCTTTCTGGCTTTCCGCCTGCAAAATGTTGCCAGGCAGTGTCCGCTTTTTGCCCCAACTGTAGTCGGGTTCCGGGGTAAGGAAAAATGGGGGTGCACAAAAGTTTCTGACAGGTGGTTTGTGTGTTACGTGCTTTCTGTTTACTTTGTGTAATCATTTCATTTGTCAGACTTGATTTGCCAGCGAACAGAGCGTTGACAGCTTGACGTTGCACATTGTGATTTTGACGAAAAGAATTTTTCCTAATTGGGCTGCAGCTAACCATTGTGCTCGAGTCTATGAAACTAGTTGAAATACTTGGGAACAATATTGGAATTACACGTAGAAAAACCTTAAAATGTATTAATTAAATTAATTTCCTTTTTATTCTAAAGCAATAAGTAATATAAAATCAAGACTAATTCCTTTCCAATACAAAAATAGCTCACATAAAACTGTAATATCGCAATCATGATTACCACTTAAAATTCGAAGTCCTGATCTGTCATTTAAACTTTAAGTGGTGATTTTCTTCTTTGGCCCATTCCACAAGTAAAACAATCAAAAAGTTAAAGCCAAAAGTTAAATTAATGGTGAGATAAAATAGAATTTCCGTCGACAAATCAAATTACTGTCTGCCTGCTGTCTGAAGATATTTAATCCGGCTTAGCCGAAGTCTCAAACGCTTCAAATTAACGCACAGAGAATTAACTTCGAAGGCACCGGGGAATGAGGACACAAAATTCAAAGTAAAACAAACAAAAGTCGGCGCAAAGTCAGAAGTCAAAAGGCTGGGGCCAAACTATGTACGAAAAGCGCGTGTAAACAGCAGCAGCAACAACTTTTGCCACACATCCGGATCCGGATTGGGGGTTCATGTTCGGGTGGTCCGCTTTTCCGACTTGGGGCTGATTCCCCCCGTAAAGTGCTGGCAGGCTGGCTCGTCATCATCATGACGCTCCATTTCAGTCGCGTTTTTGGTGTTGATTGCAGTCCCTCAGTTGTTGCTGTTGATTACGCGACGTTTAAGTGATTAAAGGTGAAAACGTTTGACGGCCATTGAACACCGTCCTTCCACTAATCCTCGAACATTTTGTCGACTTGCCGTAGTGTAGTGCTGAACATTTTTCCATTACCCGTTGCAGAAGGAAAGTAAGGTAAAGGATTTCCAAAGCCATGGCCATGCCGCACTGGCTGCCACGCCCACGCCCCCGGTTTCGTCCACGCCCGCAGGTTAATGTCCTGCAATTGGGCACCGCGATAATAGCCACTGCCGCGGTTACCATGTTGATGACAGCCACTCCCACACTCGCCGAAATCCCAGCAAAAGGTAAGTGCTTTGATAATTTAATAAGCCTCTCTTAATGGGCTTCTTAGTTTGATTGATTGACTGATTGACAGTGGGTAGTCAAAGAATAGTGGCTAGTAAGGCACTCAATTTCGAGAAATAATTAGTTCAAAATCAATTTTAATTGGGCGGTAATACTATCACAATTTACTAGGCTTCTATAAAAGCTAATTAAAATTATTAAGCTCTAACCAAAAAGGGTTGTTTAATTTTCATTTAAGTTTCCAAAATCGAAACAGAAAGAACTTCATCAAGAAATATTTAGAAGCCATTGTAAAAAAAATTGAATAGGTTTCTTTTGTTTTTTAATGATTTCTAAAATTTGGAAATTCTTTCTTAATTTCTCTTTTTGGCTAGATCCTGGGTACAGTTACGGATAACACATCCTCAAATATTTCACTTTACTTTTACTAAAACCGAATGGAACTCAATATTTAACTCTGTCCAGAAAATTGTTTGTTTACATTTGCCATTAAAAGCCATTTTCGAAGAGGAAGTAAATTCCGTTTTGTTTTCTGCTGCTGCGGTTGTTGTCTAAGCCTATCTGAAACGTTATTCACGTCAAAATGGCAAATGACAAAATTGTGCGTATTTAAAAAATTTATGAAAACAATTTCCCATTTTATTTGGGCTGCTTGAGAAAGGCATGTTTTATTTGCATATTTGTTAAATTTATCTTTGGCTGAGCAAACGAAGAGGCGTACAGATATACGGGAAGTACGCTCCAGGATATTTTGTGACATAATCAAATATGCCTTAAGCCAAAGCCAACAACTCAACCCTTTTGAAGTCGCTGCCAAGAAAATGAATGAACTGCAGATAAAAGATGTTGGCCCCTGCCATGTCATGCTTGTTCAGTTATTTCCACACACATATATTTTACAGCAAATTTTCCCCGGCCCCAAAGGGAGAGAATTTTCTTATTTCCATCTTATTCCTTCTATTTTATGAGCAAGGAAATGCAAATGCTTACAAGACGTTTAACATGTCACCTGCGGGCAAAAGACGCTCCGCAAAATGCTCTCCACACTTATCTGACAGTTGTGCATCTCTGGCCTTCGCCATTTCCCACATACCCCGCCATCCATTGGGCATATGTATAAAATACACATTTGTTTGTCTTACCATGTTTGTCACTTATCGTTTGGTCCAATGTTTTGCAGCTGAGTGCCATTTCCCCTGCACACCATCTTTCCGATTTCCACTCCAACTGGGGCCGAGATAACTGTGTTTGCGTGTATGCGGAGATATATTATGATTTTATGCATGGTTTGGCCAAGAATTACTATTTTCCCAATGCTGAAAATATGAAAAAGTGCCTTTGCTAGCTTGTATTTTATTTGGAAAGATGCAAAATGCCTGAGTGCACGCACTCTGTGTGCAAATATGGTATAAATAATTTAGTAGTGCTTAAAAAAATACTTTATAGGTTTCTTAGCACTAATTAAATAATTTATGCAATGCATTTTACATTTCCTCCATAAATGCCTTTGCCACAAAATGTTAATAAACATGTCTCTGTAATAAGTCAAAGCAGAGCTCTAAACGCCTGCATACATTACACCTGGATTTTCTTTAACGCTGAAATATGCTTTAATATCTTTATGACACGACTTTTGCATTTTCCACGTATTTTTCAGAAACATAAAATCCTCTTTTACAAAATCTCTCTCGCACCATTTTTTCCTCTGTTCCTTGGTGATTTCTACTCCGAAAGTACTAAAACATATTTTATGACACACTATTTTCCTCTTATTTCCGTTTGTCGCCTCGCCTTTTTGGCATTTTATGGCATTGCTTCCGTCATACGTTTTTCTTATGTTCCTCATTTTTGGCTATTTCATCGCTATTTAAGGCGTTATTTCTTTTTTAATTTTTTTCCGGGTAGCTCGCTAAATGTCCTTGACTGGGTCGAAAGAAGTGGCGAGAGCTCCTTCTCGGGATCGTTGGCGAGAATTCTTATTATTATGAGCTCGCGTGTGCATCGCCTGCATTTTTCCCTATTACTTACTTCCTCCGACTGCTGGCCCAAACTTATTAAAATTGTTCGACGCCGCAGTGGTCGTCGTTGGAGAGGGTAAATGGAGTGGAGCAGCCGTTGGCCGCACTGGCCAACCAGCCCTTGGTATTGCAATTTATGTTTTTCAAGTTTGAAATTCCCGAAATAGTTTCGCGTGCTGCAAATAGTTAACTCAACTAATCAGCATAAAAATGCAGCCCAAAGACCGCAGGATGGTTTTTCCAGCAAAAGTGTGGCGAAAAGTGAAAGTGTTTTGAGTTGGACCAGTATAATAGTTTTATTTAAGAGAAAAATTTAGCGCGTGACTCCACGAAAGTGCTACCCAACAGGCAGGGAAATTAAGTGCAAAAACGACGTGTAAACCATAAGCCTACAAAAATGTAAGACATTTGGATTTTACTCATAAGACTACTAGCATTGAAAATTAATGACCGTAACATTTTTAACGTCTTAATTATGTGCTACAAAAGGAAGACCATTTTATTTTAGAACGCTGCATATTATAAAACCTGTGCCCTTTAACAGTTAAAATAAATTATACTTCAAAGGTATATTTTCTTCTTTGATTTCAATTTAATATCGTCTCACTTTAAAAATGTGGCCATAAAAAGATCATTTGCGTGGCTAACGAGCGGAGGCGGGAAAAGTGTGGTACTTATGTAATGCCGCCCACAATCACACACATTTACGCCCCCAATCAGCCAATAAATAAAGCAATATATGAACGATAAGCATATTCAAAGAGTAGCAGAAAACGAGAAATGGTTTTTCAGCCCCAATAACAATAATTCAAAATAGGCCACCCCAATACGCGTCAGAATTTCCGTCCCCCGCAGCAAATAAGGCTAATTTATAAAAACAAACGACAGCAACAGCAGTGCTAAATTTCCTAAGTAACGTGAAGAAATCGAAAAACAAAATTTCTTTAACGACTGCCGAATGTTGCCAAAGAAAAAGTAAAACGCTATTGTTTCTTTTTCTGCAAAATTCCAGGAAGCCATATGGACGGAATGAATTATTACACATTGTTAACTTTTATGACTAATTTTGGAACAACTTAACGACGAGCAATAGCGAAAGTGTGTTCACCAGAAGCAGTCTTGAAAACTAAAACTGAACCCAAGAAAAGAACATGTTTAAATTAAATCAAAATAAATGTAATATTTAATTTGTAGCAGGGCAACTTTTGGGTGCGACAAGAGTTGGGAAAAGACAAAATAATCACACCAACAAATTTATGTTTTGTTTTTATTTAATACTTGGAAATTTATTTTATGGCACAGAAGTCCATACAGAACCACTTTGTTTTTGAACGAAGTTTTTGCGGCTTAAACTGTGGCTAATCCGAACTTCAACAAAATTTAGAATTCATGTCAGCACATGAACTTGTTGCGCCAAACATTAATGATGAGTTCACGTTTCCTGTTCGACCAGACAGTGGGAATATTACCCGATCGATCTGAGCATCCCGGACTGTCCTCCACAGCGTGATGGGTTAAGCCCGAGGTCGGTGTCAAGGATGAGTTTGAGATTCTTCTGCTCGATCTCTGGGTGGCCAGGGGGGAGTGATCCCTGGAGTAGCTCCTGGCCTCCTTGCGAGCAGCCGCCCGGCAGCAACATCCAGCGGCGGAGGCCTTCTTTGGCTTGCTCTTCCCAGCGCCTCTGGGACGAAAGATCGCGCCGAGGCCCATTTGGCGCACCAGGAACTCCTGGGCAGCCTGCATTTCCTTAATCTGCTGCCCCTCCTCCCAGCCCTTCTCCTCGGCCATGATCTTGAGGATCTTGGGCAGCATGTGCAGCGTGGCAGCCGCATCCACGAAAGCGATGCGCAGGCGTCGTGCAATGACGTCCACTAGAGTGCAGGCGTACTCGTTCCGCACCGCATATTGCACCTCCGCCTCGATGTAAGGGAAGTTCGGATGCAGGCGTTTCTTCATGTCGGGGGCCTGCGAGAATAGAGCGTGTCCATTGTATCCATAGGAGTCGGATATATGCTGCGCCACGTCCATGGGCACATCGTAGTCCTGGACGAACTCCAACGGCAGCATGCAGCACCAGTACTCCGCACCGTCCAGCTTTAAGTCCTGTGTCCAGCTCATGGTCACATGGTCATCGCAGAGTCCACAAGATTTGATTGCCATGTCGACTGCATCGGCGGCCATCACGCGATAGCTGCTCCAGCGACCGCCGGCCAGGGTGATGAGATTGTCCGCACTCACCTCGATCATGTAGCTGCTGATCGGAGAGCCCCGCTTGTCCTCCACTTCATCCTCCGCGCTGTCAGTGGGACAGCTGACACTGGGCTTTATGCCCGTCCAGGCGCTTAGGACGTGGCAGCGACCCAACTCCACGCAGGGCTCCATCCTGCGCTTGGCGGCCTCCAGCAGACAGTCCACGTCATCGGGATCTGGACTGGGACTCCCCCTGCCGGACACTTCGTCCAGCTCCACCTCGCGAACGCCCAGCACCATGTGGTTCTCGAACGGCACCATAACTATCGTGAGATCGTCCTTTTTCAGCGGTGGACTTAATAGACCATAGTGGCCGGAGCCAAAGTACTTGGGCAGCGAGACGTGGGTGCCCAGTGTGGGCACCAAAATCGGAGCAGTGCCCTCCCTGTCCAGCTGGCGAATGGCATCGGTGCTGGTGCCCGTGGCATTGATCACCGACTTTGCCTGGATGTAGAAGTTTTGGCCGGAGATCTTGTCCTTAACACCCACCACTCGGCAGCAGCCCTCCTGCGGCAGGAGGTCCACCACCTCCATGTGGTTGCCCACATTGGCGCCCAAGGCGACTGCGGTCATTACCAAAGCGAGGCACATCCGGGCGTCGTCCACCTGGCCATCGTAGTAGACTACTCCGCCGCGCAGACCTTCCGTTTTCAGAAGCGGGAACTCGTAGAGGGTGGCCTCCCTTGAGAGGAAGTGGGAGCCACGGACATTCGAGGTGGCGGATATCCAGTCGTACACCTGGGATTAGAGATTAGAACACCCCTAACTTACCCCCAATTCCCACCTACCTTTAAGCCCAACCAGGTGAAGGGCATGCCCAGCATACTGTAGACGGGAATGATCATCGGCTGGATGCGGTTCAGGTGCGGAGCGATCTTCAGCATGGTCACTCGCTCGCTCATCATCTGCAGCATGATGTACAGCTGCTCGATGTCCTTTTCCCGGAGGGCGGTGCCCAGGTAGGAACCGCTGCCATCGATCAGTTTACTGGATCGCGAACTGGAGCCACTGGCAAAATCATCCGCCTCAATCAAGGCTGTCTTAAGACCGCGACAGGCCGCATCCACGGCACAGCCGCAGCCAATGGCTCCTCCGCCGATGACCAGGACGTCGAACTCTTCGCCCTTGAGTGCATTCAGGTGCTCCTGGCGCGAGGGAACCACCTTCATGGCGCAGCAGTGATTCCCGCGAACTTTGACCCCACTCGCTTGATGAGCGAAAAAAAGTGCCTGGTTCAGCAAGTGCCTTCTCTCACTGGAACGATGGGCCGTTTGGGCCAGGATGGCACATAATTTAGACATCATCTTCGCAAGTCTTTCGATTGCAGGCAACACAAAAAATTTGGAATTTGGTCGGGTCGCGTTTTTTCCAAACGCTACCCAAATATTCGAAAAATGTCCAAAAGGTCACAAGGTTTTAAACAAACTGTTCTAACAATCTTTCACTCCTGCCGCTACAGCAGACATTGCAAAACCTACTTGGTTGCATTGTTTTTCTCAAATTCCAGCTAATTAGTTTGTAACTCTTTTGGTGCATTATTATTAAAATAATTTACGAGTCATGTTTATGCTTTAATTATTAATTTCTGTTTAACAAAATATTACATTTTACATTTTTAACATACAATGAAACAGAAAATTTATATTAAGAATATTACATTACTTAAATATTTCCTAGTTTTTATCAAAAATTTGTTTCTATATTTAAGTATTCTATATTTTAATAAAATTTACATCGATTTTCTATCTGCGGTTTATTTAAAACACCCCATTCAACCCTTTAGTAAGCAGGAAGGCCGAACACAAGTTTAATATTCAATAAAAAGTTGAATACATTGTAATTGAGCGACATCCACCCACTCCCACAGCCAATTAAAATTAATGAAAATTATAGATATGCGGCTTGTCGCCTCGCCAGTCTCCACACCTGGGCAAAAGGTGTCGGGCTGTCACATTTTCTGACAATTTAAACTCGTGACTGGCAGGAGGACAGGTTCCGAAGGACCTCCTGCAGCGCGATGGGAGTAAATTACTATGCTTAGCGCATTAAGGTTGGAAAATTTAATTACATGCGATGGTGAAACGGGAAAAAAGGGGGAAAAACTCGCGAGTATTCAATGGACAATCGCGAAGGCGTTGGCCAATGCTTACCTGGGGCAGGGATAAAAGCACCGCCCACCGCAAAACGACATTTGTGCCAGAATATTAATGCTTGTCCGAGGATCCCAGGGGATGAGCGCTCCAACAATGTCAACTGGAGCCGCAGAACTCTGACAGGCCGGCGCCTAATGAGTTTGTTTAAGTAATTCCAATTCATTTGTTAATTTTCAACTATTGTCTCTCTATTGACTTTATTAATGTGCCCGGGGCGGGGCCATCAGTCTGTCATTCCGTCACTCCGAGCCGAAGTGCTGGCCACCGTGTTTCCTTCAAACCCGATGTTGTCTTGTCTGTTTACCCAACTGTTTGTCCCATGTCCTGTGGGATTGCGGCGCTTTTGACTTTTGCGTGCCGGCGTCGACTGGCATTGTCCTTTTGTCATTGGCCTGGTCATTAATACTGAACTTAGGCATAGATATAGATAAATATTCAATTGCTGATTGCCCACATTATTGATATGGCAGTAATGCACATTAACATTTAACCGAAAGTCATCGATCACAAGTCATAAACTCTTTTTTATTGTCAGTAAGAACTTCTTGAATTGTACGAGTTTTTATTTAAATATGGTGAATATTTCTTTTGTGGTAATAAATATTTAGCCTAATAAATTGTATGGTTTGTGCTGCTACTGCTGCTTTTACAAATGTAATCATACATTTTAAACACACTTTATTTCAAGGCATACATTTTCTTCTTAATCAATCTGATTTTTGACTTTTTTCTCTATAGGTATTAAATCTAAAACAATTTTTTCTGAACCTGCCCCAATTAATATACATAGTGCATAAAATGTTGAAATTTTATAAGGGGTATCGGGGAAAGAATAATGATACTCTTAGTTATTATCCTTGGGCTCTACCAAATTTGTTGGTAATCACATTGTTTATCCGCCAATCAAAAGGTTTAGATGAATCTTCCGGATCTTGTTAAAAAGTTAAAATTAGTTGACCATTTTAGAGTCTTATCCTTCCCCTCGTTAGGGTCAGAAAAAGAGCATCAAGAATAGCGCCAGCGGCCTTCTAAACACAAATTTCCGGTGTAAGCCACATAACAAACCTGACCTAATATCTACCCCCTTACGAAAGCCCCCCTCCCTCGCAACGTTACCACGCCCTGGCACTTTGTTACATTTCGTTACCTCGCCAAAGTGCCTCAACACATTCGGCGGGATACGGCCTGGCCTTGTTGCTTCCTGCCCTCCTGCCCCACTTGCCTCACCCCCCACCCCCCTGCTGGCTGCAACTGGCTTTGTTTTGCGGCTCGCTGTTGCTGGCGTGTGGCTCACCTTTTTTGGCCCTCTCACCCACCGCCAGAGTTGGTCTACGGGCATTATTGCAGCTATAAAGTCAGTGCCTTGAACTTTTCCTCTGCCTGTTTTTGTTTTGTCCGTTGTTCTTTTGGTCCGGCTGCTTTTTTTTAACGTCCCCTTTTTTTAAGCTCTCTTTTTGTCGCCTTATTGCCATTGAAGTTTGTTTTTTATGGCCTGGCCGAGCTTGACAATAAGCACGGCGGCGGCAAAACTTTTCCACTTCTCATTTATTATTACGCTACCCTGCTGTTGTTGTTGTTGTCCTGACAACCGAGCGACACAAATTGTCGTCTGTTCATGTTGCCTTCCTTCAGCAGCAACAAAAGCTAGAAAGAAAAAAAACAATGAGAACAACAACAAGCAGCTGGAGCAAATGCAAACAAGCGCACAAAATTCGTCTAAAAATTTTTCAAAAGCAAAAGCTACCAAAAAAATAAAAATCATAAAAAAAGTCAAATTAAAGTAATTCTAAATAAACGATTTGTTGTGCTTCGCCTGGCAATCAACGAGGTGTTAAGTGGCCCAAATTGTCTGACAACGTGGAACTTTCATCTCCCAGACTCAGACATTTGAAAGAACTTTGGCTCTGCCTTTTGGCGACTTTATTGGCAAAAGTTTTGATTTGTTTGGACCAATGAAAATGGTAACGAAGCCATTGGTCAACGTAAAATGTAAGCCTTCAGTCTCAGGTGTTCCAAACAGCTAGGAAAAAAGTATGTACCAATTTACATTTTCCTTTGACTTAAAATTATTTTAAATTAATTTATTGATTTTCATAATGCAAATAATCAAATAAATAAAATGTATAAGTATTTTTAAAGATTTTATTAATTTTTCTATATTATGTAGTAATTTGACTGCAAATTGGAATATAGAAGGGTTCCCCTTAAATATCCAAAACTTAAGCAGCGGTTTCAACTCAGTGTTCCATTGAAAGGCATCCTCAATTGTCAACAATCGAGCCAAATTTAGCCGATGTATTAATGTGTATTGTGGCATAATTGAGTTGCACACGCACACCACAGTGGATGAAGGTGGAAGTGGGGCAAGGACCTTCCAAGTCCTGACAAAGGGTCAGGCAATGCTCAGCCAGTCGCGGTTTCTGGCAGATCCTCGAACAGAGGGCCGAGCATAAAGGCGCTAATTTGTAGCAATTAGTTTGGCACTCGGCCATGGCAACAGCAATGGAAATGGAGAATGGAGAATGGCCTGTGGTAAATGGCGAATGGGCTTGGCCGGAGGACATACGATAAACATGAACACACAGGACAAATAACTGAACTCGGCGTATGGCACGGACCAGAGACTTTCGAAAGGACAATTGATAACAATTGAACAAACGTCACGCGGGCAGCCACGCGTTTAAAGCGAGTAAAATGCCACATTTTTAACGGCATGACATCAATTAAATTTATACCTTTTCTGTCACCCAGCAATACACGCAGTGTCTGCCACATGAAATTTTTATATTTTTGCAGCTGCCCCTGTATTACTCAGTTCGCAAAAGACAGCATATACGTATTTTATTTAATCTGGCGTACGTAATTGCAAAACATAATTTAAATATTCGTTTGTTTAAATTGTATGGATTCTTGTGAAATTAATATCTCATCGACCTTTTGGTATTGACGCAAACAAAATGGTCAGTTTTTACAAATTATTATTTTAATCGGTATTTAAATGAACAATATCAAACACAAATATTTTGTTTTATGGTTTCGATTTATTCGGTTAAAATCATATTAATATTATCCTATTTCAGTGGACCTGTATTTAAAATTTTTCGTTTTAACCTTGATTAACTTTTTGACCCTTTTTCATGTTAGTTTTTTCTAAGTTTCCGATGTCTTGTAAAAAGGGGACTCACAATTGGACTTCCAAAGTCCATAACTTTACCAAATCTTAACCGATTTCAAAGTGACATACCTCTAAAGCCTTGTGGTTCGATTCTTAAAAAATCTGTGTTCAAATTTTTCGTTTTAACGTTGATCAATTTGTTGACCCATTTTCATGTTAGTAAATTTCAAGTTTTTACAGGTGACCCAAAAAATATGTATTCAATTTAAGACAATTTGGAATTCATTAGCCCAAAGTGTTTGCTATACTTAGTTTCTTTAGGTTTAAGAGGTACTGGTGTCATTAAAGCCAATTTCCTGGCTCAACATCGGAATAGGGTATTTCTGTGTCGTTTTCGCCCTGTTTTACTTTTTATTCCTATCCCCTAGCGTTCCCCCATATCTCAACAATTGTTGTTCTCCTTGTTGTAGGCAACACTATTTGTGTCATGCAACAATGTAATTGCCACTGTCGTTGTCATTTCCGCTGGACACACGTTTCAACGACACAAGAAAAAAGGGCAGGCTAGAAAAAAGGGGGAAAAACATTAAAGATATTGCAAGGAAGGGGCCAAGGGAAAAGTGGGGCGAGGGTGGGACAACGCCCTTGACAAGGGGTGAGAATGTGGGGCGTGGTCGCCGTGCGGCGGAAGGAAGTGAGTTGTAGGTCGGCCATTGTGCAGTTTTGCGGTGAGCAAGTCGTATTGTGGCGCCCTTTGGCTTTCCAAAGTGCCAGAGCAGGGTGGGGCGCTCGGCGGGGGTAAATGTCCTGGCCAATTGTCAGAGGCGCGGGCCATGTTAAGTTGAAAATAATAGACGTGGACATGGCTGTCATTCTGTCAGTCCGAGACGATGCGACCCGGACACTAATCGATGTGGACAAACTGCAAAGGTTTGCGGGCTGCTGACCCACCGCCCCAATATCCACAATCCACTGCCATCGATGGCACATCTTACCTTTGCCTGGAAATTAATGGCTCAATGAGGCAGGGCATTAGCTGCTGCCTTGTTTGCCCCCAGGAGGGATTTTTAATTGCTGCCTGGATGGCCATTCAGTGGTCGCTCCATTTATTTGTGCTTTCCGCAAGCAGCAGGTTCAACTCCTGCGGTTGACCTTCCCCTACCACTTCCCC